CAGTGCCCTACAAAAAGTATTGAGGGTAGAACAGTTCTAAAATTTTACATATGTCTCGAGAAATGGTACTCTTTTTTTTAATGATGCAGTGTAGGTGTTACACTACAGCTATCTGAGTAGACTTTACATGAGCTGGATACAAACAATGGAAAACTAGGTCTTTCTTTAAACAGAAGTCCCTTGTTTGTATACATAGGGAGAGCCATAACTAGGCCTGCTATGTTACAAATACTGTAAAAACTCCTTAACAGATTTTGAGCATTATTGAGTCAAACAATTCACTGATGCAATTCTCGTTTTACAAAAGTTTTAAAACCCCATGTCAAACTGTTTGGGATCTGAACTGCTTTTCCATTCCACTTTTTAGTGCCTTCAGCGGGTAGAGTGGGACGCATCCTCATACATTTGTACTCCAACATACAAAAATACAGAGAGACTTGATAACATGGCCTCCCCTCACGGGAACAGAACTCATGCCCTTTGCATGCAAGGCAAAGAGTCTAACCATTACAGAAGCAAATGTTGTTTATCATTATTACTATGCAGTATACCCCTCAACTGCAAAAAAAAAAAAAACGTTTGAAAACCCAGAAAACAAGTAAACTAGTCTTCACATATACATGTAACTCACAGGCTGCCAAGTTGTAAAGCCAATAGACAAATCCCATACATGTAGGCCTACAATTTACATGTACAGACAGGAAATGTTAGAAGTTCCCTAAGGCACATTTCAGTTAATGAGACATTTTGTTCCACAAAGAAAACAGACAGAGGAAGACTAGTTCAGAGGCACTTTGGGCATTCTGTCAATCACCTTTTGGCATATTTTCCACCAGTTGCAATTTACAACGTTCACAGCTTTTCATTTCCAAACATCAGAAAATGAGACTTGAGGCCAGAATTATTACTCCAATCATCATGCTGCTGTTACATCCAGAAGTTTCTCAAAAATTTTGATTGAGAGAAAGTACTTTCACTTTCAGGTATTGTGTAACATTGTATGGCTGCCACATCGCTTTCAAAACTGTATAAAACAAAAATTTTAAAGGCAAGACCTCCAAATTAAATATCCCTACTTTTTTACCCTCCTTGTCAATCTTGTCTATTGGTCTCGTTCTTACCAAGCACGATGTTGGGGATTCGAACTAGGGTCATTTACATTATTATAGTCCAGAATAATACTACACTTGAAATGCAATAACTGCATCGAAATACGACAAATGGGAAACTCAACATATTCCATATAACCTAAAGAATTGTTTTCACACAACTGATCAAGAAGGAAAAAAAGATTAAACTAATCCCTACTACCTTCTTAAGTCAAAATCTTAGATTAAAGGTTTGTGAAGTTTTATCACATTAGATCATTAGAACAAAAGACCTAGTCTGCGGCAAACATGTTTCAATACCCCTCATTAAATCTCCACTTTAAATCTCTTCATTTAAGGTAATGTGGCTACAATCTAGACACAGTGGTGTACAGAAGTGTTTTGAAAAATCACAAAATGACCAAGCAAAAAATAATCATTCTGACATGGTTTGGCTTCTCACCAATTTAGAATTTACACACACAAAGAAAAAAGCATTTTGTAATTTTTCATGTAATATTCAGACATCACATGAATCGAACACAGTGAAGAAAATCCTGTGTCCAGACATTTTGTTGAAAGAACAATTGGTAGGCAAAAAAAGAACCCTACAAGAAATGACTAGTAGCAGTAACATTTGCATGAAGCATTGAGGAGCTAGTGTTTAGAACTTCTGAGCTCAATAAAAAAAAAAAACAACCATGGACATATGCTCTAAATAAACTCTTGAGTTAGAGAAAGGACCAAACTGTAGAAGTTGATAATGACATTATAGCCTCTTATTATGGAAAAGTCACAACAGTTGAGGGAGGTAGAAAGGCGCCACTTGTAGGTCCTACTTTTTTCTTTCTCTCTGCAGTTTCTGTCTCTATCTGTCTTACTTTCTCCAAGCACTTAACATCCGTTATTGTATCAACACGCTTCTCTTTACTCAAACTCAGACACCAGTTCACAACTTATTAACTCTCCAAGCTATTAACTCTTTCTGTTCAAGCTAACAGCATGTGCTCATGATGAGGTTCACATAGGTCCGACTCTGATCCGAGGCATGGTATGGGTTTAAGGCTTCTTTCAATCTTTCAACGGTCCAGACCATGGTCAATTTCACAAATTTTAATGTGTCTTTTTACACCCCTATTGACACACTTTAGATCATATAGGAAGTGAGGTTCGGCCCTGCCTGTCGGAGCCAGTTCAGGCCAAGAGGGATAGAAAGTTTCAGTAGAAAGACCGATACACTCAATAAAAATCCCCTTCCACCTGCCACAATTTTTTTACTTGGGTCTTCCGCAAGCAATAGAGAAGAGCCTAACCGCCACACCACAGACGCCTGTCCATTCTCACTAAAATCCAGCATGATACCAATTAAGCTATTTGACCCTTGACTTCTTTAACATTTGAACAATAGTTCACAGTGGGGAGTTTCAATTATGAAAGACATCAAAGTCAAAGCTCATATATCCAACTTTTGAACTTAAGTAAACAAAATCATGTGCACATACTGTTAGGACAAGCAAGCAAATGTGGGCTAAAACTGAGGAGCTTTTCTTGGAGTATCACACCAAAGAAATGTGACTTGCTTTACCTTGAAATTATAATATATATCGGCTTACAATTACAGAGTAGCAGCAGCACATAACTCCATGAAACAGCTTTGGTTGCACAGATCCAAACACTCCCAATCAAATCACATCAAAACATTAGAATGCTATGTACACTTTCATCAAGATATCGAGTCACATGAAAAGTTTCTGTACGCCAAACTGAAAATGTCAATTTTGATAGCAAAATCATATGAAATCACAAGTAAAGTAGGCTATCCAAACACAAAAATAATTATGTCTGTCCCGATGTTAAGATAACTATCCCTAAAAAGCATTCTACAAATGTACAGCATAAAAATACTTCAGTAAATGTACAGAACCCCTAAAAAAAGACAAAGTTCCGAGCGACTTTCTATGTTTGCCATCTCCATGAATGACAGCCAACTTAAAAACAGAATGACTTTTTTTGTAAAAGAGGAGCATTGAGCCCAGCGTTCACCCCAGGGGACTGGGAGAGAAGAAAATGGACATGACCTGAACAACAAACTTCACACATCGTCATCATTCCAGCTTGAGAACCTCCATCTTTCACATCGACATAGGAAAAATTATCAGCACAGCGTATCTCCTAAAGCTTTCTAAATTTCTGACAAGGAATTACGTTTAAAAAAAACCAAATGCTACAAATGAAAGTCCATGAAATGCCATGACTCTGGCAACAGCTAATGGGAGCCAAAAGCTGATAACTTAAATAAAGGTGTAAATTCTATATAAAGTTGTACTGTGTAACTAGTGACCTGAACACATACCCACTGAAGAGAATTGGAAGCACAGACACCATAATAGGGCCATAAATTTATTTCTTCTCCTGCAGCACTTGACTCTAAGGTTATAAATATTATAAAACTGAGAGACATTTGGCAAAATTATGAATGGCACTCTAGCGACGGAATTTCGCATAGAATTTACAAAAGTGAAGCGACCGCAGAGACAGCACATCCAAAAGACTCTCTTGGCTGACTCCACTCAGAGAGTAATTTAGAAGGAAAGCTCTTGCTCTGCCCGAAGGCAAAACAGTTGTCGTTCCATCCCTTCTTTACGACTTTTGTTAAGCTGTCTTTAGGTCTGGCTAGGCTCATTCCTCTTGTGTGAAATGAAAAATATTGAAGAACAAAAAAAAAGCCAAAATTTGATGATTCAGTAATAATAATAACAATAATAATAATAATAATAATAATAATAATAATAATAATAATAAAGATAATGATAATGATAATAACTGCACTAATATAGCACATGTCAATGCTCCACAGCATACAGTGAGTGCTTTACAACTATTATTATCCAGTCAAACCCTGGAGCACTCAGAAACATTCTGGGGTTTCCACAGGTGAGCTAATTACAACATTCAAACAATAAAGACTACAGGATAGGTTGAGCCAACTGTTCTCCAAAGTTGACCGCATCTTGGTCAGCAATTGACAAGAAAAACATTTTTCAACAGACAAAGGTGAAATAAATTTTGATAACGGTTAAGATGAGACACAGAAAGAGGTCGAGATCATGGATCCTTTCACCGGTTCCTCACACTCAAGATGGTCGCTCAACAATTGTCTCCGTTACCTCCGAGAAGAGGCCACTGCACAGGTCAAAAGGTCACAGGTCTCAGGTCAATCAGGAAACTTTAACGGCAGTAAACAGGGCATCAGCCAAAAGCTCTAACTCTGTACCTTGACATACAGCTTCCGACAGTTTGATCTGACAGTCATGCGGGCAAACAATCCAATCAAAAGTCATGTTATGGCAATCTCTGTTCGCTATATCTTCATTTCAAGGCTATTCTATGAAGGCAAAGACTATTTTTTTGGCATTATTGGACTTTGATAGTAAGAAAAACATCTAGTTTTCAAACCACATTGACCAGTCAGCCCTTACAAAAAAACATCTGAGATTCATTCTTAAGGTAGAGAAGAATTATAAATATGATGAAGTCATAAACAAAATATGTGACATCATGGTGAAATCAGGCAATCGCCAAAATAATGAAAATGAAGAAACCAACATTTTTCTGCCCATTGAACAATCTTTAATGATTTTTTAAATGGGCTCAACACTTTCTCTATTTATTTAAAAACTAATTTCTGTGTGGATTCTACTAAAAAATGTTAATCAAAGACATAAAAAATGTAAATTTGCACTTTCAAAGGACACTTGAGCTTGTAAGTCACCAAACTTTAGTGGACATTTTCTCTCCAATTTTATCTCTGACACCAGGCAACCCCCACCTCCTAAATTCGTAAATATCTCGACTTCTATTCAAGATAGTTGAGTATTTTTAAAAATCAAAAGCAAGACAAATGAACGAGCATTTTAAGATGATACCAATAACACCATATGCCCAAAAAATTGACGAGCGCCTGATTTCAGTGTGTCATGACACAAAATATCAACAATATGGTGAAAAATAAATGGGCGCAGTTGTGTAGATTTTATGCCCCTTGCAACACCAAAAGGCAAGCACAAAGGTGTTTTTAAGAGCCCCCAAACAGGCATGAAAAGCTCTCCCAGCAATAAATTTCCTCCATCTTACCTTTACCCAGAGAGGTGACAGGGCAGCTTTTAGTTTATGATTAAACAGGGGTTTATTAAAGCTTTCACTCTTCTCAAAGAGCCACCAATGGCTGTGTGAATAAAACTGAGTCTATATTCCGTTCACTTGCGATGGAGATAATGAATTAAAAGCCAGTGCAGGACCAAAAAGTAAACATAACACAAACAGTGATCAGGTTGCACTCCACAAGTGCCGAATGCACGACATGAAAAAAACCCGTCACCCAAGTCACTTGATCAGTCAAAGGGTACTTGTAGAAACACAAAGTTGTCACTGGCTGTCGTCCATTTCAGCCACATGACCTGCCAGCTCGCCATTCACAGTGTTAGCAGCTTCCTTGCTTTCTTTTCCAGTGCTTCCCTTGGCGATCACATCACTCAGGTTTTCACTGGGCACTAAACTTGCGCACCGCCTCGGAAACATCCTCTTCAATTGGCTCCATCCATTCGTGAGGCTTGCGGTAGAACTGAAAGGTACAAATCAATGGTGTTATGCTCCAACCATCTAACCATTAAAAAAAAAAAGTTGTGTGTGTGTATGTGTAAGTGAGAGCCTGCACATGTGTGTACGAGTCTTTGAGTGTGCATGTATGTGGGACATGGTGACAAAATGAGTTATTTCTCGCAATCCATAAATCGATAAATTGTCCAAAAATCGACTTTAGGGTCAAATTTGTAGATTTTCTATTGATACAATGTTCTTAAACTATAACATTCCTTTTATTATTTCATTCTTTCAAATTGTAAAAACTTCACCTATAAGTGTGATGTATCTATTTCCATCAGGCTTGAAGCCGAGAAGTCACTCATTTTGTCAGCACGCTTCACATATGCGTGTGGTATCCAAAGAGAATTTCTGGGGTGTGCCCACTCTCAGTGGCCACCATAACCACAACACAATACTATTGCAGAGAAGTTCACACTATGAACATTTAGCATATTTCTATGATGTATTCATTCACATTGGACATCAAAGTACTAGAGTACAAGGTAAGGGTGGGGTGGGGTTGGGGGAGGAGAGAAAACAAAACAGAAAAAAAAAATGCAATCAACAAACATGCCTGGTTTTTATCCCCCAAAAAATTGTGATAAAGAAAAAGTGGTTAAAAATATGAGCAAAGCGTGAGACACAGCCTGTTCAAATTTACAACCAGAAAGGACTTACAGCAGTCTACCAGAATGTGAAAGACCGTACAATGAAAACCGCGCCCAAAATTCCCACCTAAGCAGTGCTTTCTGTCAGGTTCCATTTGTCCAACCCCTACACAACACCAGCACCCCCACCCCATCCCGACACTCCTCAAATACAGTTTAACCTGCTCTAAGTCTAACCTGCTCTAAGTCTAACCTGCTCTAAAGTAATCACTTGTACAAGCAAACACTTCCAATTTTCCACATATGGCATTTTTTAACATCATAATAACACTGTCCAAGACAGTGAAATACCAAACAAATGTGCCAGGACCTGGTCAATAAAAGTTTATCTTATTTTTATCTCATCTTTATCTTATCTTATATTAGTTAAGTTTAGCTTATCGGTGGCGTCGGTGGCCTAGTGGTTAGGCTCTCGGACTCGGAACTGTAAGGTCGTGGGTTAGAATACCGTCAGGGGCCCGGCGTTGTGTCCTTGGGCAAGGCATTTTACACGAATTTTCCTCACTTCACCCAGGTGGGAATGGGTACCCGGCTATAGACAGCAAAAGATCTTGTCAGTCTGTTAGTGTTTGAGCGCTTAATCAGCTGCTTGCTCAGTATGCTTCCCGGGAAGCTGAGAATGTTTCGGAGTGTTCTATGGTCTGCAGGGGTCATAATATAGTGTAAAGCGCATAGAGCTTGCTGTTGAGCGGGGTTATGCGCTACACAAATGCTATTTATTATTATTATTATTATTATTATCCACCAATCTAAGACACCCACTTTTCTCCTCAACAAAGTATGGTCATTTTGGACAACTTCGACATTCGCCATCAACTACGAGATAAAAACCTTCGTCTATCTCACAACTCACGTGGATATCGTTGATCTCCTTGTAGAAGCGCTGAGTCAGGTGTTCAGGGTCGTCCATGGTTCTGAGGTGCAGCTCTTCACCTTGGTACAGGATTCTGTTCACCGGGCACACGATACAGGCCGTGCCAGCCCCAAACACTTCCTTCACCTGAGAGTATGGGTGCAGGATTTTAGTTTTAGTAAGTAGTGTTTTACGACACTTGCAACACAATAAGGTCATATAAGTGCCGAAGATTAAAGGGGTTAAAAGAGAGTAACAAACATAAAAAAGAAGGAGGGAAGAAAAAAACTATAGATGTTTGATGGAAAGAAGAAGCAAACCACACCAGAGCACCTGCCAACCGGATGCAGGTTTGAAAAAGACATAAGGAGACAGCAGAGAGGGGAGGGAAAAGGAGAGGGAGAGAGAGAGTGGAAGAAAGAGAGAGAGAAAGAGAGAAATAGAGAGAGAGAGAGAAAGAGAGAGAGA